ACATCTCAGATGTACACAAAATGCCTTATGCCTGGCAGTCTCTCTTGAAAGTATAAATCAGTATTTCTAATAAAATGCTAATAGTTGTCATTGTAATTCAAAAATAATTTACTGTAAAATACTTTATCTTAGCTCGAATTAATTTTTGATGAAAACAATTTTGGGTGTTTTGTATGGAATTAATTTTCAGTGATTTTTGATGAGTTAAATGTCCAATATAGAGCTGTATTCACTGGATCTTATTCAGTGAAAATAAATTCCCAGTAAAAATAAAGTATTTTACAGTAACTTGGCAAATAAGCAATACTGAAAATAATTGCTCCTATTTGACAAAGTGCCAGGATGTGTGACCTTTAGGGGTCATGCATGAGTCATTGAAGTATGTACATGGTAATTGCACTTGGTTAAAAGTCTGCCAGAAAATGTGTAGAATCAAAAACATCTGTGACTGAAATGTTTATTTCAGACAAAACAATATATATAGTAACGATCAAAGCGTCTTAGTCGGAAATAAGCAGGATGGAATGGATGTGACTAAATATAAATATCCCTAAATATTGAATGGTCTGTCCCTTAAAATCCTGGCAAGTCTGTGCATTCAGAAAATTCCAACCTAACAGGTATCCTAATGCTGGGATCAGAATAATCTCCTAATGAGCTCCAATTACTGGTAAACCCTGGCAAATAAAGATTACTATCCTTTGTAGAAACAGAGGCTTATAGTAAACCCTAACAATAACAACTGAAGTAAAACAATAGAAATTGACACCTATCATTCATTAATTTCAATAACAATGATTGGTGTTATCACTTGAAAAAGATACAGTGGTGTAGTAGTGCAAGGCATAGTCCAGTTATGATATTTATTTTTTCTTTTATTTTACTAACATTTTATTTTTATCTCTTCTGTATTGTATGTTTTTTTTTGTATTTCTTTGTATTTATGTTCCTTACCATACAAAAACCCTCTGAAAGTTTATAGTAGTATAATAAAGTTATTATTATGATAATAGCATAGTATCCAGTAGGACTGTGTCCAAGATGAATGACAGAGATAAAAAGAGAGTGTAATTAACTTTGACGCCATTGCTGACGTGACTTCAGTTGACTAGACTATTTGCTCAAAAACAGTGTTAGCTATTACACATGTTTTAGCACTCAAAGCAACATTTTGATTTAGTATCCTGGTTATTTTTAGATGATGAACACAAAATTGCAGTCACCAACAAATTTGAGGGATTTGATCATTTTTTTGTATTCATGAAGGTCAATGACACTGTTTTGGGAGTGTTCTCAGGAAAACTAGTAAAACCAATCAGATTACAGTATAGGAGATATGAGATAGAATTGATAGAATATTGTATGTTTATAGCATAAGCCATACATCTCTTTCTATGGTTACAATTCAGCTATAACCCAAACAGTGGAAGGTTGTCTGACTCGTGAATACAGGCTATTGTGACTGGCTGATTTCATTATATGAAGCAGTGCTAATTTAATTAAAAATTCTGTTGTTATTTGTGAATACTTACCTGCTCTCACTTATTTCAGCATCTCTTTCAACTTCTAAAAGATTGCCTGTTTTGCTTGTGAATTTATTGACATTCATTTTAGTTTTTAAAAACCTGTGAAGAGATGGATTGAATAAGTGACAGTAATGGTATTACAGTGAAGTACTTTACTTCAAAAGGAACTTCATTGATTAATGAGTTAGGTGTACTTTCTAAAGACACACAAAATAGTTCCATTTATAGTCTGCTCTTTTCCACATGAAATGTTGCAAAAATGTCAATTTTTTTTATAAAAACTACCCCGGTAGCAGCAATGTCACATTTTGTCTGTCTTGTTCAATATTAAATCAGTGATAATTACAGAAAATGTGAACAAATTTACCATAATTTTAAGATGGAAAAGAATTTGGTGTTCAAAGGGTTAACTGTGGATGTGAAAAGAATGTACAATAGGACTTGAAATTCAGGGGGCATTGAAGGCCTGGATAATCTGTCTGCTTGTCTCAGTGACCAATAAATATTACTATATAATTCCTACACTCTGATACACTGTTTATCAAATCTATCACAAGTGTTACCACAATTCTTTGATTCATTTTGTTTAGATAAATGTTGATACACTTGCTGTAGTTTAGTTAACAAACTTGCAGGTAAATTTACAGCGACTGCTCTGACAAAGTATGAAGTTGTCTGTAAAATCAACATAATAATCATAACAATGTTGCAAAGCAAGAGTTCCAATTGCCAAATTGGGTATATACTTGTTTAGTTCATTCTTTTTCTCTGAGCATTTCAGTGCCAAAGTCAGGCCATAAGGCCAACAACAAAAAATTGTTTTGTTGCCCTCGGCGATAATAGGCCCAAATATTAAAAACTCACCAGACCAGACCGTTGTTTAATCGACAGGGTCCCCAGGGGGATAAGTGGAAGCTTTGAACCTCGGGTTGATCTGTATTTAAATACAAAAGACTGAAAGAAACACTTTAATTTTTGTGTTTAATATCTAGTATGCGTTTGATTGATTCCCATATACCTCGGCTATTTACGATACCTTTAGTTTTCACGAGTTAAAAAAAAAATCTGATTGCCTGACCCAATTTTTCAATTTTCCGACTTGAGGGCAACATAAGTTTGTTTGTTTTTTGACCTAATGAATACATGTACAGGTTTTTTTTTTATTACACCAAATAAATACTGTTTTGGTTTTTATCATGAATATTAGTATTAACAAAGCTGAATGTGAGTTTGTTCAAAGCAAAAAAATGCTTTTTTAACATTTATGCACCTCTAAATCCACAAATATTGTGTGGTATTGATGAGACATCTTTACTGTAGATGTAAAAATGTATAATGGATAATAGCAGAATTGTTCTTAACACCTAATTAAATTAACAGTGTGACCACAAATCAAATCAAATTAACAGTCAGACCACAGTCCACAGTCAGTCTACAGACAGAATGTGATAATGTTCAGTGTTAGACATATTCACATGGAGGGAGGCGGTGTGAATCACAATAACTACTGGTACCTCCCTGGTAGTATGGTGGTACCTGAACTCCACCTCCTTTTCGTTTGTGGTGCATTATATGGTTTTGTAACACCATGCACAGACACCAAACAGTCTTGTCTCATGTTGTCTAGTAAATGGTGGTGGCTCTTACAAATACATCTCAGAATTGATGTGTTGACTGAATATTTGCAAGTAAATTAAACACTACGGTAATTTAGATATGGATATTATTAAAATACTACATAATACTAGCAATTTAAATATAATTGCTACAATACTAATACTGGTAGGAAGAACCTAATGCATCCTTTGTAAGGGCAGTCCTTATAGAGCTCTCTTTACTTGTAGTGATGCATTCTCAGCAGATTTAAAGCGAGAACGTAAACTGAAGTTATTACTAGTAAATTTTAAAACTGTACTGTAACGATGCGATTTTTCGAAAGGTAAACATGTATGACTATTGAATAAGCATGTTTTGGAATTATGATAATGCGGTAAGGGGAAGCCATGTGTCACCATATAACCGGCATGTCATACTGCAAGTACGCCAAGACAATTACATTGTGACTAGCTATGACTTCGTTGTGCACGTCAAATGCACAATTTTAAAATGCTCAAAGCCATGGAACCAGGCACAGTCCCTCAACGAAGACTGTGACCCAGGGCATGATTGATATATGGATTAATATTTGTGCAAAGATATAATTATCATCTCGAAATAGAAAGTTATCTCCATATAAATCAATCGACATACTTACACTTAGGAAATTGCATAGATAGTATTATAGATAAACCATATAAAACCATTAAATGTGCCAGTCATATGTCGAAGTTTCAAAGTTTCTCGAATTCCTATGTACACAGAAGGCGGCCATTTTGAAAATGAGGAAACTACAGCGACCTCTTTGGCCAATTTGTGTACTATACTTTCGTTTTTATCGATGAGTGATTTGAAGGTCACGAACGACTTATTAAACTTATAAGTATATGATCCGTCCTTGGAATTCCGCAGATTATGGATATCAAACATTAATGTCACATTCATGATTACATCTCATATTCCGTTTTGCAAGCGGAACTACAAGAAATCGTACACTTTTCGGGGGTAATGATTCACTTCCTCAAACTGCGCATAATTTGATTTTCAGATTTATATTTCTGGCAGTTTGAAGTTATGATCTCACAAATAATTAAAAAATTAACCTTATAACAGCAGTTGCCTAAATAACTTGATTTCACAACTCATAAAATACAATGCAATAGTTGATACCTAACAAAGGTTGAGTTGCATGGGACGGTCACAGGTCAACTCGAACCAAAACCAACTCGCACCATACCAACTCGCACCAATGCTAACTCGCACCAACGTAAAACTAGTTCCAGTACTTTAGGTTCATTTTTCGGCCAAAAAAAGGTATTTGTGGTCGCTAGATAGATGTTTTAGCTGGTTAAAATTATTTCGCCGTTAATAATTTCAAGAACTCCGATGTTATGTAATTTCTATCGTATATTATTTCGCCGTTAATAATTTCAAGAACTCTGATGTTATGTAATTTCTATCGTATATTATTTCGCCCGTTAAGACACATACATTGAAAAAACATGTTACTAGTTTTTGAATGTACTACAGTAGTCTTCCATTGTCTGTCGTCGACCCACCACGCACTCCATCAGCGCCCCGATGGCGGACTTCTTGTCGGGTTCAGTCAGTTTCACTTTTGATCGTGATTAATTCGATATAAATGTAGTTCTTTACCGGAAATCGCCAGTCCGTTTTCTTTGAGTTTAAAAATGACCTACAGTAGGGTCGGCATGGTTAGTCAGTCGCCGGTACGTTCGCTTCCCACTCATAGGCAGTTGTACCGGTTGCCGCTGATTAACTAAGCAGACCCTACTTTAGGTATTTTTTTATTATCCAAGAAACGTCCCAAGCAACAAAGGGACAAAGTGAACCACACAAATGCTTAGAAATATGATTGTGGTGCGAGTTGGTTTGGTGCGAGTTGGCATTGGTGCGAGTTAGCATTGGTGCGAGTTGGTCTGGTGCGAGTTGGTATGGTGCGAGTTGGCATTGGTGCGAGTTGGTCTGGTGCAAGTTGGTCTGGTGCGAGTTGGTTTTGGTGCGAGTTGGTTTTGGTGCGAGTTGGATCGAAATCGCATGGGACAGCCTGTTAGAAGTAGCAATATCAGCTTATTTATATAGGCGACCATAGAAATATTTGCTTAGAAAATATAATACTGAATTCGGGATTATCGAGTTGATTTAGTCGTTGTAGATAGGATATTTTATTCGGAACGTACACAAAAACATTGTCTGAGTAAAGTCCTATATAAGAAACATAGAATAATGTGTGTGTGTTGTGCCAGGAATACGTGGTCGGTAGCATTACTCTATAATCCTGTTGTCTTGTGAGATGTATACTATTCTTTTAGCTGTCCGAGGTTCCAGCAAAAATTCGCTAAGTATTAAGAGAGACGCTCATAAACTATAAAACAACTTGAAGTCGTCTGTAAACTGTGTATTGTTTTTGTCTACGTGAAATTTGAAAAATGCGCCACGAATGTGTTTATGTTTGAACTTGGTAAACATGATTATTCAAAAGTCAAGATTAGTAGGGACGAACCAAAATACATTTGAATACCGCGTTGATGGACCCTAATGTAACATCATGCAACTTACGACAGATAAAATGATTTTAAACTTGTATAATAAGGTGGTTAAACATTCCCCGCCGCGACAGATCTCTCTGTCGATGCGCTCCCCGACAAGAGATGTGAGCTACAACAATAGGGTGTTGGAATGTTTTGTCTGGAGTTTCTGTCTCCACACACCCGGAGCAAACACGTTCCGTTTAGCGACCATCGGTACCAAATGCTTTTACGGTCGCCAACAACAGGCGCATTCTTTCGTCAACTTGTGCGCTCCCTGCTGAGGGCGATAACGAGTCCCACCGTCTTGTCACTGTGTGAAACTGGCGTGACAACAAAGGGAGCCCGCTGCGATGAGTACCCGACATCCCCTGCGAATGGAATGGGCGTGACTATTCTGTTAATTGACTGGAAGAAATGATACATTGAGGAGCGCATTGTAGATAGTCCTCGGTTTAGCCTCGCACGGTGAAAGTGTATCTCCACGGCAAGTCCATCCAGATTTATTGCTGTTTTGAAAAGATCTTAGTAACAGAACGTCACCATACGTGTGAAACAAGCGCAGTGGGATTATGATTCTGTCGTTGATAGTGATTTTGCTCGCTATATGTGGGCATTTGGTGTGTACGAAGCGACTTGATCCGATAGTGTGGGACTCGAACACGTAAGTATATACATGTACAATGATTGAGTGCGTGTGATCGGCGATCGTGGTGGTGGGTATTATCACTCAGTCACTGTGTGAAACATCTTGCCCCAGCTGCTTATGTTTGACTGTTTGACCACTTCATTCAGTAACTAGCTGTTTTGCGGAAAAACGCTGTTTTTACTGGTAGGTAACGGTTACTAACAGAGTCGACGAGGAATACAAAATGTCTTAGGGCTAAAGCTGACCACGCGAGACAGTGTCGGGTTTAAGTCGGCGGTACAACATTCATCGAAACTGTCAAAAATAAATTGTGTTTTAGAAATCGATACTATATAAATTCCGATCGAAGACTCTTGTTTTAAATCGTGGTTCAACTGACAATAACGTGTGAATTTCTCTTTTCCAATGCCACGCCGTTGTAAAACTTTTCAGGTTTTCGTGATAAATATTTTGAACTTTTCGCAGTGTTTGCCGCAGTCATTTACACCTTTTAATCACACTTTAGTCCTATTTCAGCGTGTGTGCCGACATTTCACACTTTGGACAACAGGAATCGTGTGAATAATCTGGCTAAAACAGAACTTATTCTAGCATTTGTGACATAACAAAACGCAACGTTATTATGTATCTAAATATGAAATAAAAAACGCTAACAGCAAAGCCCGAAATAAAACACGAGTGAGAAACAATCGCCGTGCTGTTGTGCAATTCAACACTAATATGAAAATGTACATTTCAACCGTCGGCATCACAGTGGCGAGACATTCCGAACTTGAATTCGAAAACAAGATCCAAACCGATAACATCCTCTTCCGACGGCATACTTTTCTCGTTGATTGTTTTTATGCTTTTTAACTCCGAGTCATAATCGGTCGAGACGGACACCTGTTTTAATTTAACTTTTTTTAAAAATAGGATCTCTCAAGTCGTGCGTATCGCAGCACAGTTCCGCACAGTTTCCTCTGTTGTGCCACAACACCGCGAGAATACCGGTGTACAAAAACACACGAGTAGTCGATTTGCCCCTGACTTTATAAAAAGGGCGATTCAAACACGAACGACAATCCTTTGGTTGTAAGTTTCAAACCCCGGTCAATTCTTATAATAGCGGTAGTCGCAATGGTCCTTTGTGTCCCTACTCTCCTCGTTTCAGTTCTTTATTGACCCGATCGTGTTTTGTGTTCGAGAGGGATGGTTTTAACACCTTTCTGCGAATGCAGCGAATGGCAAGGAAACGGTCGCCGCGATCGCGTCATGGGTGTTATCATCGGGCAGTGACAAATGCGGTTTCAATAAACCCGATAAAATGTTTACTAGTAATCTCGTTTATTTCCTACTCTATCATGAGTTATCTTTGCAAATGTCCATTGCTTTAATTCGCCCGAACAGTGGCTAAATATATTATAGTTTCCTGTCTTACGGAACCTATATGGGAAGACTTTTCCATGTGAAAGCTTTTTCAAGAAGCAACCCTAAAGTCGGCGACTCGGCGACTCGGCGAACTTGAACTAAGTGCTTATGTTAGCGTTACTCATTTAAAAAATGTGCAATCTGACATAAAGCCTCGTACTTCAGTTACATTGAAATTGAAGAACTGTGACCATAACTAAAAATATGCATGTAGATCCGAATGTAAAATACAGTCGTCATGTTCTAGAATCAGCCATATTGCGAACAGTGTTTTTATTTCTTTTAATGATGGTGCTCTATGTTTTAGTATAAAGAAATTATTTTCTATTTTTCATTTTCATTCAGAAAAAAAAACAGTTCAACAGAAATATAGGACAAATTTTTAATTTTTGCAATGAGACAGAATATTTAGTTCCAGATAGATCGGAAAGTGGATAGGGATAGAATTGAAATAATTGTATTTTCCCTTGTCTGTGTATCCAGGAAAAAAGGGAGTGTCAATTAGTAAACAATTCTGATGAACAACATCATAGATTTGTGGTACAAAGTGGCAGCAGACATGTCTATAACATGGAGGGAAAGCCTATCAGATGGCTGAAAGTATAGGGTGATCAGATTTCCAGATGTCTGCTGAGAAATTGGCCAAGATATTGATATGTTTATGGGGGGGGCACACAATTTCTTTTCTTTTCCTTTCTCTGGTTACTGGTGATAGGCTAGGATATTTTATTTGGTGCATACAACAGTGAAAAGTGCAACAGACATCAACATTACCAATGAAACAAACCAGTAATGTATTTTTATTAAAGTAAGAGAAAAAAAAGGAAGTGTAGGAGACCCAGAATAACGAAAAAAACGAAAAACTAGGTACTTAATTCAAGTAGCTCAGAAACCGACAAACCTACTAATAGAAATAAATACTGCCGGAATAAAATACCTGTAAACAACAACAATTGCAATCAGTTTGCTGTAGTTCTGTATCTCTTAGTTTTGCTGCATTTTTTAAAAACCAAAGAGCTACAAAACTGCAGCTAGCATTGCATTTATTTCATGACTTAGTGATTTAAAAGGTAACAACTGTATTTCAGTAAGTACAAACAAAATATTCTTTTCTTCTTCCCTTGGCACTGAAAATTAGTTTCTAATTTAATTAAGACTCCCAGAAAATCATCGTTTTATAGAAAACAAGATTTGTGCAGACACCTGGGTTGTAATAGATACGGTACATGATACATTACAGAGAAGGGAAGAATTTCAGTCAATTGTTCTGCTTGGCTTCCTTCCTATCATGTGTCTGAGTTTTACCTTATTCACTGATGCCTTCCAAAACAGGGTTTCAACTTTCATTTTATTTCACTAGAACTCCCACCTAGCCTATATAAAATAGCTGTTGGCACGGTTTGCTAAGTACTCTTCAGTGTTTGTATTACAGAAGTTTTTTTTTTTTCCCCTTTCTGGCTTCAGCCATGGACGAGTGAACATAAACATATACTCTTGGCCATTGGGTTGCAGCTGCATTGCCATTGCAGTGAGCCAAGTCTATTTGCTTGATTACATTGACTTCAAAATAAACATGTCCTTATTTAAGAAGCCTGCCCAGTTTATTAGTGTCTGTATTAAATGGTACTTTTAAAACATTCATAGTTATAGTTTACTTGGTTTGGTATTTTACTGCATATCATTCTACAGGTCAGAGCTCTCGTTAATTTACTACGTTGTAATAGTCAAATAGGCCAATCAATAACGCTTGTACAATGTACTGACGTACCATACACTATTGGTACGTATGAGTCATGTACAGATAGCTCAAATTTGATTAAACTCTGAAGTTTAATATAATTTCCTATATCTGTTTGATTGCTGAATTCACTTAAACTTATTGATTTTGATGTAACATGCAATGTTTTTCAGTATTCTCATAATGTTAGCTTTTCAAGGCCTCCACATCTTTGTGGTAGGGTGTTATTACTTAAATACTTGTTCATTAATCTGTTCATTATTTATTATGGTTGTAATCATAAAATCATAAAACCCTATTTTCAGTATAAAAAATTGTAATGTAACTACCTACAAAAAACAACAACATTTTTTGATGCTTGATTACCAGTCAGAATTCCATTTCATATAATTTATAGACCCCTAGTTTTAAGGAATTTCATATTGTTTCACTCAGAATAGAGTATTGTCAATTTTATGGCTACGAATTCTACAAAGTCAAAAGTCATGTAAAAAGATATGCCGCGTTACATGTCAACAAGTGACTTTAAAAAGGGGAAGCTCCTTTGTGCAGACTCGCTCACGTCCGCTACATAGAGCTCAATCGACAGTCGTACTTGCATACATTCAATTGTGTTAGGTAGCTGTATGAGAAGGAGACGTTTTAAAAGCAATACACAGGACCCCTATAAATTTCTGCCAGTCAGTCATGTGCTGAAAACATTTGTACCCAACTACCACTGCATATGGTACAAGTGGTCCGGTCCCTAATGGCCACCTATGAATGCAATTAAAATCACCTCCAATGTTTGTTTAAATCCTCCCTGTGGGAAAGCACAGTACAAAATATTAAACCTTCCTTCCTCTCAGGTCAACTGCATTGATTGGTAGCATTGTGCAACAGTGACATCGGCAACTGTCTAATAGTTTATCTCGTATGTGCAGTATGTGTTTTGAAAACTGCAGTTTACCACTCTCGTTTTTTCTAGCTCAGTAGAACACCAAAAGCTGTGTAGGGTGTGGACATTACAGCATCATGCAAGATTGAATGAGATTATATTAAATCAACTCATAAAATACAAAAGTAATCATCGCATTCTTTTTTCCAACCATTATTAACTAGAGTACAATTACTAGCATCGCTTTTAGATGTATTTGTGACAATGCTCCTGTTAACAATAAGCCAGGTAGGTTTTTGCAACAGATGCACATTCCCTCCAATTGTCAGTTAATGTAAGAACATAAAATTTAACTAGTTCATAATATGGGTTTATTTGATCTACCTTTAGACCCTTGACATTCTTATTGGGGTGTCTTAAGTACTTTGATGTGTATTAAGTAGGAAGGTTAGCCAGTCAATATTAAGTTCATTTTATGTATGTACATACAAAAAGTAGTGTGCAGATTCAAGCATCTCTTCAGTGTTTTACTGTTTTAGGGTTGTTTTTATAGCCCACTTGTATTTTATCCATGTCAGGTTTTGATGGACTGAGAGTTGTTACCCTGCGCAACACCCCAAAAAATATTTTTCATTTTTGTCCCAAACCTTACTCGATATCACTGGTGTCTGCTGTAACACCACAGGTTGTTATATACTTTCAAAACCACAAGAAATTTGATACCCTCCCCTTTCACCTGCATTTTGCAGATAAAATCAGTCTGAGGACTGGTGTGGTTTGCAGTGCTGTCTTCACATTGAAACTAGTATGCTAGCTATGTAAAGGGCTAAATACTTTGTAGTTTTTCCAACCCTTCACACTGTTTGTGTCTATGCAATTGGGTAACTTTATATATCACTGTGGAAGGTTATAGTTGAAATATGGACATACTTGACCGAACAATGGGTTGGCACTTCACTGACTTTGGTCTTGATATGCAATTTCAGTGGT